TTGTTGTTCCACGGCATCTGATTCATTCGGAGGAACAGGAGATGACTGTTTCACAATCAGAGGGACGCACTGAAACGCAGAGAGGGGCTTTTTATACCCTGTTCTTCACAAAAGGTAAACAAAAAAGACACATTAGAGGCAAACAGCTGTTAGTCTGTAACATCAGAACCAAATGATTGGTGTTTGCTTTGTTAGATTCTGTTTTTCCTCAAGCCGTGATAGTCCCTCCGGTCTCTTAGTACTGCAATGTCATACAGTGCAACTTGCTACTTAAGGAGCATGCCAATTAGTGGCTCTTGCACTCGTTAATGTGCTGCAATTGCACTGTAAATAAAAGTTCTGTGATAACATCCCCCGCTAATTCCGCTGCTACATCACCATATCCACCATTTCCAGACACATCAAATCCATAAAAAACAATAATTGCCTGCCATGAAAACCAATTTGACTTCCTCCACGGGGCAGAATTAAAAGTTGGGCTTAGCAAGGTAATGAAGTATGGTACGCGCTAAGTCAAGGATGGAGGCTTTGTCTGAAGTAATCACTTCTCCGGATGCTGTGGCTTGGCTGCGTTTCATATCAACAAGGCTGACATATGGAAAAATAATTAAAATGGACGCATTCAACCAATAACAGCTGGCAAGCTGCATTTTTAATACACTATCAAATTTGCATGCTGGCTGTCAATCCACTCTTCTGACTGAGGCAGAAAATTCCAATCAATCAAGGTGTTGGAGTTGTAATCTAGCTACATCAATAGCAGGGATTGTCAATCCAGAGCGCCCGCACGCTGAGCTTTTCTCCTCTTAAACACAGGGAAATATGTGACAGTGATTTACAGTGCTGAGTTTTAGCCGGTGACAGTGAGTGAATAGAAAAGTACACCACAGTTCTTCTGTGACAAGAACAATTAATATAAGCCTTCGATTGGGCTTCAGTCTTAGTAGGCCAGAAGCGATGATGTGGCGTAGCATTGCATCACCACCGCCAGCAAACAAGGGAAAAGCAAAGTCGCTCCAGCTCCCTCTTATCTATCTTCTGAGATTATGTTTCCAGAGAACTTTTATACAATTACTGGCGACTCTGGAGCTTCAAACCGAGTTCTGCAGTTTTTACACCCAAGGCAGTGTAACAGTGCAGTCCCATCTGACAGCAGCACACACACAGATCAGTGAGCATCCTCATTAGTTTGGCTCAGTTTGACAGAAGCCTCAACCTTGCTGCCTCCTAATTTTGGACAAGAGGACAACAGAATACACGGGAGCAAAGGAATCCGTGAGGCGGTGCATCGATCTGGACAGATGGCAGAGGGGACAGGAGCAAGGTAAGCAGCTGTGCATGCTAAATAAAGTTTAGCATTACTCAAAGACTGTCGTTCTGGGAAAACACTGTGAAGGAATTTTGAAAAAGCAACAAAGAAAAGTGACCCTGTGTGTTTGTGCCATCAAATCATCCCCCCAAAAAGGAAGAAAAGTAGAAAATAAAGCATTCAGTCACTCAAGTATTCCTGGTGTTCATCACTGTTAAGACAAAGCCAGGACTTTGAGCAAAGGGAGATCATGCAGGGAACAGATGGCCACCCACCCTCATCACTACACCTGACACCATACAGACTGCGAAAGGAGTCGAGGAACTGTGAAAAATTAAACATTCTTAGGCAAAAAGCTCATCTCTGCTGGTGGTTTGACTGCTGTCACACAGCTCTGGTATGTAAGCTGGTGTGAAGTGGACTATAAAGACACCATGTGCATGTCAATGAAATAAAAATAATGTCTCTCCCTCTCTCTCTCTTCCTCTCTCTCATTGTATATGTGTGTTGGTCTACTCCCTTATCCCAGTTGCACAAACTGATCATTCATTCATTTGTGGTACAACATCAGAGGCTGATTTACATCCATGACTAATGCTCACTTCTTCTTAAGCAATTGCATTTTAAAAAGGCCTAAATGAAATTCATGTTTTCACGTGTAATTTGTGTTCACCATAGGGTGTAACAATTTCTGCTAGACATTTGGACACCAAGAAATACAGCATATAGTGGACTCTGTAGTAAATAGTGATGACAGAATTAATTTTGCAGATGTGTACAGCATAGAGCTACAAAGATTAGTCAATTAGTTGATCGAAAGAAAATGAATGGCCAACTATTTGGATAATCAATTCATCGTTTCAGTAGCACATGACATGCTGGCACACATCCTTTTCCATAGAACAAAAGTTACATGTTGGCTCCCACAAACCTGAAGCTCTTCACTCAGAAACTCACTGTTTCTGTTTCTTTTTCCGACATCCCACATTGCTAACAAAGCTCCACTAATCTTTGTGGCAGATACATTGCATCTCCCACAGCTGCTTCACAATAAAAGCTTAGTTTTGTCACTTTTCCAGTGCGAACACACAATTTATTCCAAACCAGTTTAGAATTAGTTTGCAGTATGAAATCAGGACACTGATGAAAACCCTGTGTACCCCAGAGATGGCAACAAGAAGTTTATGACCCTTCTCTAAAGGTTGCTGAAAGGGATTCGGGGAAATGTAGGACACCATTAACTGAAGTAGAATCACACAGGGCAAGCTTGGGGGAAGGTTGGTACACCAAAAAGGTACATTACAAAAAACAAACTTTTCAGTATGAGAGGTCGGATTTTACTTTCCCACCCGACGCTCATGGCAGATCTCATTTAGAGTTCAGCACAGGGTTGTTTTGTACCCCGCCACACAGATGTGAAGCATCCAGCTGCTCTGACCTCACATCTCCTCCCCAAGGGCTGCGATGCAACACACACACACACACACACACATACACAGCTTGTCATATAATTAACAACCAGACACACTTTCCGCCTGTATAATTAAGCAACGCAAGAGACTCCATGCCCAAGCCAGAGGACTCCATCAGTCCTACACCTTGTTCTGTCAGCGTGGCAAAAACTCATATACTAAAAACCAACTGAGACGCTGCAAACAAGACAACATCTGTTTCCAGGTTCACGTAGAAACAGAATTTTCCCACTGACTGACCAGTGAACGAATATTTGCATTCTTTTTCCCCCCAGCGCTGTTACTCTCAGCCAGAGCAAACCAAGCTGTGCAAACCTCTTCAAAGCTCGGTATGATTTAAATTCAACTGGACTGTTTACTTGCTGTTAACCTTGACGTGACTCGATCTCATCGGAGCAAGCTCACGTCAGCCCACAGGTTCGCCCCTGTGGACATTAAAATCCATCCACAGATTTTGTATAAATTCAATGCTGGGTCGAGTGCAGGATCAAGTGATTTACTTACTATTTGTGAATCATTAAGCTGGAAAGAGAAATTATTGTGTGTGCTGTCAAAAAACACTGAATTTACAGTTGGTACAGGCAATTTATATCCTTCAATCAGTCATAGAGAGAAGTAGCATATTATGCAGCTGAAGCCATTCTGCTTTTGTGGATATGAAGAGTGCTCGTAAAGAGACTGTGAGAGAGCGGGGGAGGCTTGGTTAAACTGTTCATTTCCCTCCACCACCCTGAAGTGATTGTACAATGGTGAAACGCTAAAGATAATACCAAGCGCAACAATACCCAAACCAAACTTCAGACCAGTGTTTCATTGATTTTAGGATTCAGTCCTCAGTAATACCTACTTCTGGGCACAATACAGTCAGACAGAGACGTTGCACAGAAAAATACAGTTACAGAACTGAGGCTTTTCTTGTGTGTGCTTCACATACTGTGGTTTTTGTTTTTTAATACTTAGCGTCAGCAGACCTTTCCAAGATCTCAATCTGTCACGTTTCATTTGTTTTTGCAGCAGAGGAATCAAAGGCAAGAAAAACACAGATTTGACTGCACAGATGCCGAACGCTAAACCGAACCCCATGCTGTTGTTGTGACAAGTATGCTGTTGTGATATTTGTATTGAGGGGAAAATCTATTTAAAAGAATCAAAATTCATAAAACCTAATCATTTTTTTCTTATAACTTATCTCTGGTGGTGATGCAGGAGGGAGGGGGGGCTACAGAGAATGCAGAGTTTGTTTCTTTCTGGCTGCCTACGAATACCATTGTGAAATGGACCCCCTCTGGGGATGAAAACAAACGAAGCAAAAAGCAAGGAGAAAAACAGCTAATTTCATGTAAACATAATACGATGGTTCCTCATTAGAAATAAAAGTGGAGAGAAGATTCTAGGCCCCTGCAGTTTGTCATGCACTTGGAAACAGAGCCCTGACACTACAGAAGATGAGTTTGTACTGGTGGAAAAGGCCACACATGCCTGCCGAGCGACGCATAAATCTGAACTGGTATTTATTAAAGCAACGACAGGTCATCAGCTGCTGTGATTAGGATGATGAACAGGAAATCAGCGGGATTTTAGAGCAAAGAGGAAGAGCGGGGAGACATACGCAGCGGTGGAACCAAATTACATTTAAATCATGTACATTTTTTACTAAAGCAGTCAGCCGCAATGAAACATTGCAAGCATTCTGGCACAAACACATTCAATTAAACATTTGAAAGTAGTATCAGGTAAAGGAGCTCGCCTCGCAACCCCCACGAGGTGACACACACGCAGGGTCTGGTTTGTGGAGCCAAAATGGATGGGAATAAATCACAAGAGCTCGGCCAACATGGCTGCATACTAATCAGTGCATTACCCATGGGAAAACTCTGCCCCCAGACTAATGGCTGCATGTGTATGTGTGCGTTGGGATGTGTGTGCGGAGTTCGGAGTCACCTTCTCCACCCTGTCGTAGCCCATCAGCAACACTAAGTGTGTGTTTGCTTGTATTTAATTGCAGAAAGGCAGAGGCAGGAGTGCATGTGAATTGCTTTGGAGGGAAATTGAATCTGGAAAACATTTCACTTCCGTCAGTGTCTTGTTGTGACCCGTTACGCGGGCTGCTTTAGCATTCAGAAGGTACACCGCATAGCATTCGTATAGATTAGATAAGAGTTAATTCAATGTCCTGTGTGAGAAAAGAAAAGAAAGGACAGAAAGAAAAGGTGCTTTACCTTTTGGATGGCCTCGACCCAACGTCACAAAGCCAGAGGAGATGAAGTTGTGAAGTTCAGCGCCTCCACTGCTCCGGACGCTCTCCTTTCCATAGTGAAGACCTGTTCACACAGCATTCTAGTCAGTTCATCAGTTGCAACAGCTAAAACAGTGGTTCACAAGACACATCTGAAGGGTCACAACAACCAGAATATACAATCAGAAACAAAACATTACTACTTTTTTGGGATATTCTTCTAGCATTTGCCTTTTTTACCTCATGAAACACTGCATCATTTTAGCTCCTCAGTCAACGATAGCAGTTTTTGGGCCCTAGCCCTACCCAAATGTGAAGAGTTTTATGAAACTATACATGCATTATTTCTAAATATTATATATATATATATATATATATATATATATATATATATATATTCGGGTCAGGTCTAATCGAGTTCAGGCAGACTATCCAAGCTCTACAAGTACATAGAGATGTTTGAAAGGGGCAATCCAACAATTTTAATCTTCAAGGACAGTTTACTAGTTGTGTGGCACTCTGTGAAAGCCGTTGTATGATGTCTTCTGGCTCTGGAGGAGCTTTGTCAAGTCTGGGAATAACAACCCTGAGGATCTCATAGTGATGTCATCAGGAGACTACATATTTACACATCAGGGAGTTTGAAAGACCTGAGCGTTTCCAAGCAGCAGGGTGACAAGGTGTCCCACTTTATGTGGGACTGCACAGCATTTTTATCCTTCATCTCACGTCCCACATATTGAGACGATGTCCTGCATTTTGATTGGCTCTAGTTTACAAAAGTCAAACCACTGAAGGACAGACGCTTTTCTAAAATTGGCTTGCATCCAGTGGCTGTTAAGAAAGCAGAGAAGGCTGTCATCACAGGGCTGTGTTAGATGTCAATCAAACTGCACACATGTGGGTCAAGTGCCGGTTAACCTGTCACTGTCTGTGTCACGCTACGTCCAACGGGGAAAGTTGTGAGTCACCACAAAGTCACAAGTTAGGGTTAGGGTTAGGATATCGGCTCTTCCTTGTCAAAACCTTTGACATTACCCACAATGCAACTCGACCAATCGATACAGTATCACAAAATAAAACATTGTGATACAATATATTTTTTACGAGAAGCTCACTTCTTCCCCCCCCCTTTTTTTGTTCATTTTAAGCCCCAACTGATGCTGACTTAAGTGATTTCACAATTTATCAGACCTTACACAGCTCCCTCTGAAGTACCAATTGGAGATACGTTTATATACTATAGGATATGTGTACTATCACTAGTCAAAGCAATGCATCAGATCCTCTCAGTGCTGATTATTTTTCTGTCAATTCATCAGCTAATTATTGTTTCAGCTCTAGCCACAGGAATTTACCTTTAAGGGTCACAACCCACACAGGTAGGGGATCACTAAGCTACAATAAAGTGATTAAGTTCACCAGGGGACCAGTTACAGGTAAAAAAAAAAAAAAGAGTTTTCCATCATGTTCTCAGTGGGCCCGGTTGTGTCTTTTTCATGGCGTCAAATGGGCAACTTCCCCGCCGTGTCTCTCTCTGAGGCACAGATTGATAGGAAGCAGTAGAAATGTGAACCATACAAACAAGCATAGTGCGATGATCCTTGGGAGAAAAAAAAGCAATATGTTTCAACCACCCACGTATGAATGCACTTTGAACTCAATCACACCTCTCCCTGCGCTGCTTTCATGGCTGCAGATAGAGAATCTGCCAGGGTTATTTTCCACTAGCCATCCTGTGACACACACGCACGTTATTGTTGTCTTCTTTTGTCACCTTTGTCATTGGTAGGCCGCTCCACGACCCACTGCGACAACCCTTAAATCTGAAAGACCCTTCAAAAGCAATCCCCTCCTTTCCTCCTGCTCCCATTCCCAGCTCATTAAGGTGAGGTAGCATGAAGAGCCTGCAGGGGGAAGGCTACGCATTATGAATTTATCGTCCTTGATACAAAGAAAAATCGTGACTTTCACCTCAACCCTGTGCCACTGAAATGAACGGGCACCGGAGCTAGTGCGTGCTAGGATTCATATGTTAATACTTTTTAATCAGACTCCTTCACCGGACACCTACACCTCTGAATTACCTCAGAGAGGTGGGAAAAGTGAATAATAAGATAATTATATCAGGAACTGAGCTGGATGTGGTGCTGTGTGGCTGTCATTGGGGAGGTTATCTGACTCCAAGGTCGATTAAGCTTTAACACAGCCAGGCAGGGGTAATTTACATGGTATACTGATTTTATAGCATTATCAGACCGATCTGCCAGAGTGGACATGGAGCTGTGTACATCATCTCGATAAAGTTGTTCAGCTGGAGCTCGGCATATCTCCGCATCTCCCTCTCGCGCTTCCCTCTCACACGCTGAGGACTCTTTAGAAAAAAAAAACACCAGAGTTTTTTTAAATGCCATCTTGGCAAATACATGTCCCTTTTCTTTTAACCCTGCCCCTGCCCTCTCGTGAAACTAATGGTGCAGTGCAGTAAGTCCTGATCCACACTGCTCCATAATTAACTGGTACTACTACTGGAAAGAGATGCTGATGGATCCCTGCCTCCACACCTGAAACCTCTGCGCACACACATGTACACCCAGGGGGCCAGAGGTCCGGCTGTATAATAAGGGGCAATAATGAGATCTAGGGCAGGAGACAATTAGGTGGGGTCTCTCAGATGCTGAGGTTTAACACAGGTGTACTCGAGAGGAAGTTTCTATTAAACATGTTAACGCAGTCAGCATAGGAATGTTGCTTCTAAAACGTGGCTGGTGATTATCTGGCCAATGGGGAGCAGGTCACAGTGGAGATGTTATAGCAGCGCACTTTAAGGATTAATTGGAGGGAGGAGTTTAATGTGTGTGTGTGTGTGTGTGTGTGTGTGTGTGTGGTAGTGATTGGGACAGGATGGCTCACTGAATATGATTATAAAAGTGCCTTTTGGCGAATAATTAGAGTAATTAAATCACTGTTTTGTTATTTTGGCAAAACTTGTTGTTTGGGTAACTCTAAGGGAGAACACACTACATACACACACACACACAGCTGCATGCTTTAAAAATATCTTAAGGTCATGTCAAAGCTGCTAAATGGCTGGAAATGTTATTCTATCATCACAACCTCTAATTGTCCACAGCAGCTGACCTTTAAGCTCGGGAGGTTGCTCATCTCAAGCTAAATGAACTGACCACTCACATACATACAGACTGTATGGGCTCAAACACACACAGATCCAACCTCTGAATGTGCATACCCTCTAACACACTCATTCCTCTCATTCTGCTTATTCTGGTTCTTCTGGTGCAGTAAACACAGCCCCATAACTCATAATCCAATTTGCCTCTTCTTTTTTTTGCAGAACTGCTACATGGGAGTAATTGTTTTTTTTTTTTGGTTTCTGTTGAGTAAACTGAGACAGAGGAAACAGCCACTCTCTGCACTACCTGAAAACTATATTTCATCATTCCGCGCATTAAGAAAATGTCAGAGAGGAAACCAAGCGACACTTTTCAAAAAACAAAAAAGGAGGCAAATCTTTGCCTGTGGTGTGCGGTAAATAAATCAACTTCATCTGGAGAGAGCTGTGGGCCAAACTGCATTACTCAGAGAAGCGGTTATTGTTTACTTTAACCAAAGGCGAACTCCTGCAAAGGTACCTGCTCCTCCCTTTCAAGGTCTGCTCCTTGTTGTGGCTGTGGGGTGCTCTGTTTTTACACCCCGACCTAAAAGAGGATCTGAGCCCCCACAACAATGCAGAGTGGATGCGAATAAATATAGCAGCACTTGTGCTGGTATCATATTATGCTGTCTGTACTGTTTTCGCTTGGGGCTTTTTTTTTAAAGGAATACATCGTTCTGAAAATGCATGGGAAGTTTTGCAGTGCGCCAAGGGTACCATGTCATCACACAAGGCTTGCAATGTGAAAAAATAAATGTATTTTTAGAATTGTGCCTAAACAAAAAGTGAGGAAGTGATTACTGCTGAGAGCAACCGGGCATCATTACATGTTGAGGATCAAAGGAGAAACGGATGTTATTCCCACTCTCGACACAAGTTGATAGGATCCTCTTGGGCCCTTTAGCCACTTGCTTTATGAGCTCTCTCCACCTGATTTAAAACGTCTCAAAAAGCCTCTGGATGTGAAGTGCCATTCTCAGCAGCGACGACTCCATCCGAGGACCCTCTCCTTAAGAGGCCTGCCCGCTCGGGCATCAAGCGGAGCTCCCAATTTATATGCACACATTAACCACGCTTTCGCCCAGGCTGTCACTGCCTTTCATGTCCAACCCCATCAGGACTGCTGTGGTCCCTGATGAGGAAGGGGTGGGGGGCTTGGCTGTGCAGGCCTCAGTTGCTGTGTGCAAGCAGGCAAAATAGTCGCAGCCAAGCCAAGCATCAGATAGAGGGATAAAGTGATGCCCGACTTCTACCGAGTATAAATGCGTGCAAGGTCGTGCTGAAGGAAGCCCCACACGTGCAGCCACCTATCAGCCGTGTCCCCTGCATGGCCGGCTAGTGACCATTAGCGATTGATGCTGCGACTGAGCCGGGGAGACACTAAGTGAATGAACGCAGACTGTGGTCGCGACAAACACTGAGCTGCAAGAAAATGTTCCCAGTTAAGTATTTGATAGATGGTGATGTGGCAGAAAGAGGCCAAGTTTACATGACATACAAGAGTCTGTAAACCCAGATAAAGCTGCAAGTACGCACAATCTATTATTTAGAGACAAAGATGCAAAAATATTTTTGCTGTCCTGTAGCTCAAATCAACCGTAAAAACGACATGTATTGTGTTAGGTGCTGTGATGTTTGGCTACCAGACCTTCAAAAATGCAGCTGAAGTTCTGTCATACTCAGCAGAGGCCTGGACAAATGCTGCTCTATCTCTGAACCAGGGTCTAAGGAGCCAATAAATGTCTGTTTTAAAGATCCCCTCCAGACTTTAATATTAACATAGTCTTATTGAAATTATGTGTCTGTGTTGGTGTTTTAGCAATATGTTTTTCACTATTTGTACGTCTTAAAATGTCCTTATACTTCTACTTATTACTCAGAACCTGAATATGTAAAGTGTCTTTCTAAAGTTTTGCGCTGGACCAGTCTCTTCTTCATGTAAATCATTCTATGGAGTCCTGGTGCTCAATTCTTCATACAGCTGTTCACTTGCTCATGGACCAGGACTGATTCAGTATCTTGGGTGATGTTTACATCATGCTGGGAGCCGCCTAAATCAGATTTTCAAGAGCAAGAGAAATTCCTTCAGGCAGATGAATTTGGAACTCTTACTAGTGACAGACTCTGCCATAAACGCATTCTGCACAGTGAAGCTCAAACATCCAACACAGTAGCACTACATTTTGACTG